CCCAAAAAAAAAAGGAAAGGAAAAAGGTGCCTTTGGTGAGTTGCTACGTAGGCATAATATCTGTCCCCGCGATCACTCATCATTTGTGAGGCAGCGTGGTGGAATCAGGCTCTGGTCAATTTTTGGGCATATTGAGTTATTGGTATCATCTAAAAGCTGGTTCATTTGTCTTGCTTTCAATAAAACAATTACCCATCCATCTTTAATAGAAGTGGAGATGTTTTGGCTTGAAGGAGGTGGGGGGTCACCTGGTTTAAGAGGTAAAATTAGCGAGAACGTGGCGCCAAAGCTTGGTAACTTTCAAAGCTGGAGAGTCCATGGAAACTGTTAAGTTATATTTTTTTGCCTTTGATCAACGTTTTTCGGTGAAATCTTCAATGGAATGTGTTTGTAAATGGACATAAAAGGTGTTGAGCCGAAAAAGAAAAATTTGATAAAAATTGCTATGCAGGGAGAAAACTGTTGTTTTCTTCGATTTCATTATTTTGACGAGAGCCTGATTCCACCACGATGCCTCACATTTCATTCCGTTCTACACCACTGCCTTCTGTCTTCCATATTCATTTCAGATACGTTCTTCATGTCCTATCATCATCATCATCACTCTGCACCCCTTGGGGACTCAAGCGTGTAGATCTAGATCTAGTTTCATTTGTCAGTGTGGTCTCTCATCATTTCATTCCATTCTACAGCACTGTCTTATGTCTTCCATTTCATTCCGTTCTATATCAGTCTTGTGTCTTCCTTTTTATTCATTTCAGAAACTTTCTTCATGTCCTATCATCATCATCATCATCACTCTGCTCCCCTTTGGAACTCAAGGGTGTAGATCTAGTTTTATTTGTCAGCGCGATCACTCATCATTTCATTCCGTTCTACATCAGTCTTGTGTCTTCCATTTCATTCCGTTCTTTATTAGTCGTGTGTCTTCCATATCATTTCAGAAACTTTCTTCATGTCCTATCATCATCATCATCACTCTGCTCCCCTTGGGGACCCAAGCGTGTAGATCTAGATCAAGTTTCATTTGTCAGCGCGATCACTCATCATTTCATTCCGTTCTATATCAGTCTTGTGTCTTCCATTTCATTCCGTTCTATATCAGTCTTGTGTCTTCCATTTCATTCCGTTCTATATCAGTCTTGTGTCTTCCATTTCATTCCG